TCAGGTTCATACCTGTGGATCAAGAAAGACAAGTGTAGCTGTCATTATATGCATAAATTCTTACTACAACGATAGGCTATACATTTTGAATGGAAAGAGCGTAGGACTACGAAAGATTCTGAGTCCCCATGAGCAATTGAACCGTAGACCACTGAGCCATGGAGAAACTCCATGGTGAGCAAACGCCATTACAAGGTTTATATATGACTCGCGTCCTGCATCGCGCTTGGATCGTAATGTCGATAGCGTCATCTTTCTCATCTTTCTTATTCTACTTTCTGAATGCTTGAATTATGATCAGTCATCACCTCTCGTGTGAGATCTCTAAGATCATGCTCATCTTCTCATCTAACATTGCACGGCCGTAGCCTACTGTATCATACCTTCGGGTTGTTTTCGAGATTCATCTTTCCCTGAATCGCCACAAAGTAGAACCGTGTCCAAAAGAACTAACTGAAACTGTTTTTTCGGAACCTTGAAGGAAAGGAAACGAATGTTCATGGTAGGAGCCCACGGGTGAATGAGTCCACGCTTGGGAGTCTTCTACTGGGTCCCCTCAAGTTTTAAAACAAATGTAAAGACCCGGCAAAGTATGGTCCTTACCAGTGACCTTGATATTTCCACGGATTTGTCATGCAATTCAGAATTGTTGATATTTACTTAAGAAACTCCCACCAAACAAATTTTTTTGTTTTGTTTTTCATAGCAGTAAGAAGACCAGTTTTTGTCTTAATTTCACGCTACTTACTACGTATCTTTTCTCAGCGTGACCCAAGGCTCCAAGGATGCGGACTTCTCGGACTACAATAGAGACTGACAAAATCTGACTAAAACATGTAAAATGCTTCGCACTTGCGCACAACTCTTTAAAATTGCATTTAAATTCGTTATCATTTTGATTATCAATAGGATGCAAGGAAATACGCATGCGTCCGCAATCAGTTGAATAATTGACCACGATCAAAAGAATCGAGGTTGTCGGAGAAGAGAATAGGGACCTTAAGAAACCACGACGGCGACGGCAACGAGGACGTGGAAAAACAAGAGATCTAATTGGCAGAAYAATAGCTCAGCGCGTGCGTTTTGAAACTTTGTACATTTCTTAGCCGTCCTATGCAAAACAACAACATGAAATCGCCAAAATTTGCGTCGTCTGCGAACCGAAACCGCGAGGGCAAATAATTTTAATTTCCATTTGGAACTCGACGGCTACTTTATACGTCATGCTGAAGTTGAGCTGTGGCGCTGTATGAGACAGTAAGCTGCTGCAGCCATTTTTGAAATTCTATCTAAGAGTAGTAAGAGTAGAAATTTATTTTTTAATCGAAGTCTTCCTTGGCGTCGCCGATGTGACTTCTTAAGGTCCCTATTATGCCTCGGCCCCTTCACCCACTCCTCGACCCCTCATTAGGAGCTGATCACTCACCTGATATTTTCCAAGACCTGGTGTAATAGAAGTCTGGAAAGTTCCATTGCTTGGACCTGCTGCTGTAGGCGATCTGAGCCGATGCTTTGCCAAAATGATCGTGATTTCCCGCGCAAAAGAACCACGGAGTCATAAGTAGTTAGGAAGTAAACATTAAACACGTCCTCAAATGTTTCTTTGAAGCGTTTGTCGTCCACATTTTTCACCCCAACATCGTAAAAGTTGTCGCCTTGACAAAGTACATTCGCAAAAGAATAGCCAAAAAACTTAATGAAGAATGTCACGATTCAATTAGCAAATCACTTAGATTCAATTCGATTCTCCGGTTCGGAGTTCATCAACCTCGTTCCCAGTCTCCACCCCCAACTAAGGAAAAAGGCCCTGGGAACGAGGTTTGGAGGACTTATTTCTTGAACAACCGCTGGTAATCGCACAGACATGCTAGTGTTATCAGTGGAGTAGTCGTGTTTGGCCGCGTCACACATCTAGCGCAGCGTGACAACAAGTCAAGAACAACCAAGGGGACAGATTGCATAATAATTGTTTTATTAAAAAAAGACAAATCTTCTCGACTTTATTTTGTAAGAAGAAAACGGATGTTACAATGTACAGATATTAGATTATGGTATATTGGCTCATATACCATAATGGCTAAGCCAATAAAAAGTCTTGAATTGCATTAGCCAATGATCCAGTTTTAATAATGCGTATAAGCTGATATTTTAAAGTTATACCCTTTGTTACAAATCAATGCGATTTCTTTGTTAGCGGCTATAATGGAGCTAACCGTTGAGCAATTTGTGCTTCAGTCGACCATTTTTTACATAGTTGTATTTTGTATCTTGTAACAGTCGCCCATGTTGTCGGTGTTTATCGCACCCAAGTGATACAATCCAAGCCCTGGGTAGTTCAAAGGTGGGTTAAGATAACCCAGGGTTAGTGTGAACTTTGATTTCAGATCTGAAAGCTTTTAAAGAAAATTCAGTTTTTCTACGAAAAATTCCATTTTTCTACGATTTGATGATTGAATGCTCTAAAGCGAATTGAGAAAATTATCCCAAAACGGTTTTTAATGGAGAAATATAGAAACCTGGATTAAAATTTTTGGGTTAGCGCCAATCGGCCTTCGAACAACTGGGCCCGGGGCTTGAATTCTTTACGAATGATACCCATCTATACTGATTTAAAAGAAGCCGATTAGGGGAATATGGAATTGAACCTGAATTATTCTATAGGCAAACTTAGAATGAACGGTGACCTGGCTCAAATAAAGATAAGAGCAAAACAACACAGTACTCGCCCTTTGAGAATCTTTTAAGACAAAAAGCTTTGCTTAGTTAGTGAGACATGCATCCATATGATGTCCTAGAGGCTTGGAGAATTAGCCTAAGAAGGTCTTGTTGAGTCATGATCTACCTAAATTGAAAAAAAAATTTGATTTCCTACCGAGGGCGACAGTGAACTGAGTCCTAATTTTTGCCGCGATCTTCCCCATGCCTCGGCTTACTGATACCTGGAATAGGGTTTTATGTGGCCATATAGACATTCCTCCCCAGTCACCGGCCACAAGGAATCTTATAGCCTGCGAACAGGCTCCCCGTTCATTCAGAAGTGGGGAAGACGTGGGGCGCGCCGTTGTGCTCCTCCAAGCCGGGAGCCTGTTTGCAGGCTAGGAATCTTAGGTCGTCACAACCAGCAAGGGCCACACTCATCACAAAGGTAACAAAGCGATTAGATTTGAGCGCCATTGTAAATACCTAGTGCGCGTTGCCAACATTCGGTCAGTGACAGCGTTCTGAAGGCCAGGTCAAAATAACGTTTCGTTTAGCAATATAGGCGTTGCCCTTTGATGACAGATTTATTTTGATTACAAGCCTCCTGATTGACAATTTTTTTTTAGTCTCTTTCTTTATTCGCCTTCAATGGTTAATTACAACACATAATACATACCACATGATAAACAAGATACGGCAGGAGATCTAGCAAGCTCTTCTGAGCTTTTTAAAGATCCCCATTTAATTACAGTATCATTTAAAATAGTTTACTAATAACAGACGGCGAATATTAATGTCTTTCTTGTAGGCGGATTAGAGATTTGCAAATATACAATTATTTATATTCTCAACATGCTAACAGAAACTCAAATACATCTAATACAAATCATTTTTTTGAACATATAGTTTTAACGATTTTTTGAAAAGATTGTAAGAATTTATGTTTCTAATCTCACTCGGTAGATTGTTCCGTACAATAGCTCTACTGTATCTCATAGAAAATTTACCATAATTTGTTCTATATAATTGAGTATGTATCTGTGACACTATTCGTGTATTGTAAGAATGTAAGTTATCATTGGTGATAAAAAAGTTATCAAAAAATACTCGAAGCTTGTCGTGGTAATATGAATACATGAAAACCGCTGTCGGGTATGTGGTTAGTTCATAGAGTTTTAGTATTTCTAATTCCGTTCAGTGATTTAAAAGTGTTAGCTTATTACGTTTTAAACCAGTTTTTCAGAGGAATCGAAAAAAGGAGAGATATCGTTTTTATGGTCTGTTTAAAAATCCGCTTGCCAAAATCTGTTAACCTGTACAGTGCGATTGTTTTAACGACCCGCCACAGAAGTAAGCTTCCAATCACGTTTTCTGAATTTTGCTACGAGAGAAAAACTTGATTTACGTTTTTCTGATTTCGAATTATATTAAATGTATTTCTTTTAGATCGAATAATTATTGCAGCTTGGATTGATATTATACGGTTTGTGGTGGTCGTCTAAGCCGACCAGTTCCGAGTATTTTGATTCATATCTGTTACGTGCTCGATCGCAAGTGAGAGACCAAAGTCACAGGCAGCCAAAGTCACCCTGTGCCAAAGTCACCCTCTTATGTTTTGTAACGTAACGCGCGCAACCTTCAACAGTTAGGAAGGTGACTCGTGACACAAAGGTCAACCGATCTCTGGAAATAGCTACTGCGCCGTGCTAAGAATGCATTTTTTTATATCTATTTAAAAGAAATGAATTAAAGGAATAAAAGCAAGAGTCAGCTGCGATTTTCGAATTGTTGAGGCCAAGAACCATTTTAGTAAAACTACGGTTCGAAGTCTCGAAGGTTCAATTCTGTTCGATTCGGCTCGATCAAGATTCAAGAATACTTCTGATTATATGCCTCGAAGATTCTGGCTTCTCATAGCATTTGCACAAATGGTCCAAGAAAAAAACACTTGAAACTTGTGCTGCCAAGCATGCCCCATCCCCGTGCCTTGTTGGATGAGGCTTATGTGGTCGTTTTTAAGCCCTTCCCTCCCCCACTCAAAAATCTGCTGCACAAGCCTTGTAGTCGCACACTCAGTCTTTTATCAATATATCTTAATTTCTAAAGACAGTAATTGTTTCTTTTACATGGTCCTCTGTACTTTCAAGAAATTTTTAAATAGAGAAAGTGCTCATGTAAACTAAATTCACCTTTTATCAGAGATGGTGGGCCGAAACAAGTTCTTTGACACCGGAAGTTTGAACATCATGCCATCATCATCACGTGAGGGTCAGATGGTTGCCGTTTGTTATAATCCCCAGGTATTATCGCACGAAAACATGATGGCGATCAAACATATTCTCTTAGTGATCTTCTTCACGTGCGTAGCTTACGTTCACTGTGATGAACTGAGATTTCTTGTGGTGGGTGATTGGGGTGGCATGCCTTGGTACCCGTACACTACTCCTTACGAGACCGCGGTCAGTAGTGGCATGGGAAAGGTCGCACAGGAACTAGGAACACAGTTTACCGTCGCTCTTGGTGAGAAAAAAAATCTCATTGCTTTCCAGATCAATTTTGTGGAGTGCTGTTAACTGAAGTGTTCATGGTTTCAAGATAAAGATTGTACGATTTTGCTCTATAATATTTTCACTTGCCTATTCCAGATGCTCAGAAGGTTAGAGCATGGCGGCGAGTTAGTATTCGTAGAGCTAGCTGCCTTGAACCTCGCTTCATTTTGCATCATCCACCTTAAGCTGTATTATCGCAACGCTATCTGCCACCTATACTTCCCACTATCGCGGGTGCCATTTGGGAAAAAATTCGTACGCGCGTTAGTTTCGAGAAATCCCAAACAAACTATACATCCAAAGAAAGCTTAATAAATGTAGTTTACGATAAAAAATATGTATATTTAGGCGTTTTTTTCATTTAGAGAGTGTCAGGAGCCGGTAAGGTGTGAAACGACTGTGGGACCCTCTATTGAATTTAGCGGGTATCGGATCCCGCAGCACGAGAAAAATGGCTGTACAGTCTTATTCACAAGGCATCAATCCACAATGAAAGTGTGTCTGGCTTTTCTGATATTCTGATTGGTTGTCTAAATATCTGCGTCTAAGGTTGAAGCAGCGTAAAATATGCGAAACGTCTTGCGTAAATGGACACCACGTGAAAAATATTTTAAATATCAAAATTCCCTGACACACTTTCGTTCGTCATTATCCCAGGAGTGTTTTGGTGAAATTTCACGAAAATCAATCAAATCTACATACCTTATAAATTCCCTCAAGGGGGATGTATTCCTCTCAAAATCAATAAAGCTCCTAAAGGTTTGTAAACAACGTGCGACGCACCAGGAGATTATTATCTCGCCTCCTAAAACCACGAACCAATGGGAAGATGGGACCTCCTTGCGTTAATGACGATGGATCAAGATTTTCCCGGGAAAAGTATCGCATAGTAGTCATGATTTTTTTTATCTCCCTCTGTTGAACGTTAAGTAATGGGCAAAGTTAGCAGAGGAAAATCCCGCGACAAAAAAGGTAAAGCTGAAGAAGCGAAAAAGCAAAACAGCGAATCGACAAACAGCTTCTATAAGGGATACCCTTTAAGGAATACCCTTATCGCTGAAATGAGTTCCTACTCGGGAAGGTTTATTCATGATTTCATACGATTCACAACGATTGCCTATGTTTTCGTATTCAGGTCAGTACTTCCTTACTGAAGGGAAACCTCGTTTTTAACTCTATGAATGACAAATTTAGATTCGATGGCGCCTTCTTTGTTCGCAATTTGGATGCCGGCATCGGACAGGAGTGCCAGGGCTGTTTTTTCCTGAGAAAATGGTGCCATTTCTCTTCCCTTTAGGCCTATTTTTTTTTCTTTTCTTTTGCCCAAGGAGTCCTCTCTAATTTTCATTTAATTTATGTTTTTTATCCAAGAGAAAAGACTTTCCTCTAGCAGAGATCTTCCACGTGTAAATTTTGTCAAGTGCGCGCTGTAAACTAAATATGCAAATAACTCGAATATTCCCCCGAGGGGTTCGCCTACTAACGAGATTATGACACCTTCCTGATTTACTGACTTTTATTCGAAAATACGTTTTCCTGAATAAGTCGGATGCTTTTTGAGATTTTAAATTTTTCTTTTTGTAAACGTTAGGTAAATTTCTCACTTCAATCTAGACCAATACAAGAAAAAACGATTTTTTTCGGCCACTAAAGGTGGAAAGTAACCATAATGATCGTCTCAACAAGCTATAATGACGCGTGCTTCTTTGATTAGAAGCGAATGGTTTGATGTCACGCATAGTCACGCCATGTATGCCAAAGGATTAGCTAATTTTTTTTTTTTTCACCGACCAGCAATCACAGCAGACCGATGATCTTGGAATGAAAAGCTAAGTTCAGTACTTTGTCTTCTGCGCGACAGAGAATTATTTGAAACCGAAATATGATTTTAAAACTCAATATCTCCTCTCTCCTACGTACCTCAGCTTTTTCCAATTTCTATTTACTCAGCAATCGATGAGTTATAATGATTCCATAATTGTTGAAGTGGCCACAAAAGCTGACGATTGATATATCTAATTTCTTCAAAGCAAGATTTTGCTTTTATAAAGAAAATTTTTTACAAAAATTCAGAAAAATAATGAAATCAACTTTCACCCATCCTCGGCGCCCCAACTCAAGTGAGAAAGTTTTGAATAATGAAGATCGAAATGCAACAGTGAAAGCCCGCCACGGGCTCATCAATAACATCAGACCAAGGTCGAAGCCGACGTCGCGATGAATATACACGAATGATTCGCCTAATTCTTATATCATGAGAAAAACGATAAAACGTTCATTTATCTATAAAACCATGTTGAACAACAACACTTCCTATATCATCTTCATTCTACTTACAAAAACCAAACTGAAATAATTGAAATTTTACTTTATTTGTATTTGAATCTTTTTTAAAAAGACCGTTGGACAACAATAAGGAAATGACATCAAAGTGAAATTGGAATATTTTCTTGAACTTCAGAGTCACCATGACAACTATTTTTGTGTCCTGAACAACTTCGATTGCTGCATTTTTACAAAATTAGATCACTTTAAAAGGATAAAAATCACCGATGGATCAGATAATGATGTAGATATAGAATTTTGTAATCAAGTAAAATTTTAGTATTATTTCGACCTTTCCCATCTTTCCTTTTGTTCGTTTTCTTTTTATCACTTTTTTTCTTCTTTCGTCTCGAAACACAGGCTATACCAGAATTTAAAGGGAAGGAAAACCCTATTGATTTGTTATTGTTATTGTATAGAAAGCGTTTTCTCAACGAGTCGCAAGAGGGAAAGAAAGCCTTGGATTAGTTTTTCATTGCCTAGGGAGATTGGAGGATTTTGGGGATCACATGGTTTAGTGGGGGAACGGTGGGAATCCGTCGTCGCTAACAGAGTATAAAAGGGGGGGAGGCTATAGAATATTGATTACCTATGAGGGGAGGGGGTCATTTAAGTACTACAAAGCCTTAGAGGGGAACAAGTACATTTTACTGTGACAACCAAAATCTTCCGATCTCGTTGGTGTTGAATAATTACCAGTCTCATAGTTTAATGCTCTCTGTTCTTTTACTGATTCATTTTTTCAGGTGATAATTTTTATCTTGATGGGGTGAAAAACGTGGATGATGAAAGATTTAAAGAGACATTTGAAGACGTGTTCACTTCCGAATCTCTGATGACCCCGTGGTTCTTTTGCGCGGGGAATCACGATCATCATGGCAACGTATCTGCCCAAATCGCCTACAGTTCTAAGTCTGAACGCTGGAATTTTCCAGACTTTTATTACACCAAGTCCTGGAAGATTCCTGGTAAGTGTATGGCAAGTGACGGAGTTAGAAAGTGGGGTTAGGGAGTAATGCTGATAGTGTAAACGGAAGATGTGCAGAATTAACAGCAGGGAAGTACGCGTAAAAGGACTGAAAGTCGAACGAAAACTTGAGTGATGGATCGAATGAATCGAAGAAAGACTGACCGACCGAACGAGGCAACGAGGCATCGACAGTACGAAGGAACGAAGCAATGAAGGAACGAAGGAACGGCAAACCCAGAAAATAGGACACATGGACGAATAGAAGAATGAATAGATAAAAGGATGGATGGCTGATCTTTCTTTTCCTCTTGGTTTGGTCATTTATTTCTTTTCTTTTTTTTTTTTTAAGGCTCTGATATGGAGTTGCAGTTGGTTCTTTTAGACACAGTTCTACTCTGCGGTAATTCTGGACATGATGACACCCTAAATCAACCCGAAGGTATCATGGCTTCTCTTTGAATATGCTCTTCTTTTCTTTTCTGCCGAAAAGTCAGCCGCAAGAGCAAGAATACCTTGAGTGCAAAATTCCGGGACACACTGTTACCTCCTAGGAAACTGCGCGATCCAAATTTAGTTCCATCGGCATTATACCAATTCTAAAATTTTCACTGTAATTGCTTGCAGGGGATGTTTCGGCGCGCAGAATATAGCTCAATTGGTTAGTGCGCCGGGTTGTGTTGTGCGGGAGGTCGAGGGTTCGAGCCGCGGCCGGACCAATACTCGTGGTCTTAAAATAACTGAGGATAATTTGCTACCTTTCTATAACAAGAAATGGATAGATATTCTAGTCTTCTCGGATAAGGACGATTAA